ACAAGACTCATATTGGAACTTGATGGCCATAGCAGCCATTTATTACAAAAATGCAAAAATAACATAATAACATTTAATACAATATGGATGGAGCCCCAAGGTCCTTGAAGGCATTACAACAGTGTATCTGTGTAAACCCACAAGGTAGACCTTTGGCCACAAAACACAGACTATAAGAGACTAACACAAATGACCATTGATACAACCATGAATGACCCACTGTCACTGAACCATACAAAATAAGTGTACCTGAGACGGCCCCTACCAATTTACATTTACCCATAATGACCACCTTCAAGGACCTTTTACTCCACCAGTTGCTATGACATATCTGAACCAAACTCTTAACTGTTCGTAACAGAATGAAACAACCATCCACCAAACTTTAAAAGGGGGAGGGTGGGTTGGGAAGTTTTTTCATCTACAGCTCTCTGACTGAGGACTTCCTAGGACTCTCCTACCATCCATCTCCTGAAGCCCCTCCCATTCCTGCATGACCCACCAAGCCAATAAGTACCCCGATCCCTTATTTACTTTTATCTTCCAGAAAACAAAAAATCCCTCCTATGCCAAACTCATTTTAACCCTGTAACTTAGGCCCTTTGTCCATATCTCTTTGTTTTACTTTGGATCCAACTATATTTCACTTTTAAGGCTTAATGGAACAAGCTGAAGTTAGTAGCTGGTTGATTACTTCATACAGTTGCTCCAGATTCTTTCTGCTCTAGGTTTAGTAAATTCCCCCCGGTATATTCAATTATTTTTTTAATGAATACCTAACTGCATCCATTCGGTGCTTTTTTCTATCCACCTGGAGCACAGCTTTAGGAATAAAACAATAATTACTTTGTTATACAATAACTAAAATGAAAGCGTATTTGTATTTACTGCTAATAATCGGCTTATTACATGCGGCACATTGCAATAAAGGTAATTATAGCGCTGTCACATGCGAGAAATCAGGTTTGTAAGTCAACATCACAGGCCCAGCTGTTCTTGATTTGTAGGCCTCTGTAAAATGACTGACATGTTTTAAGATATTTACTGTACACTGAGCTTTTGTGACTCGAACCACACAATCCGTCTGTCAAAATAAGTCAACACTCACAGCTCTTTTTTTTTTCCCAGCGAGTCATTTTCTGAAAACATTTCCTGATGTGTTGCCATGAGCAAGACTGCTGACGTCCCACCCGGCAGGTATGTGAAATTTGAAAAAGCCAAAAAACAAAGAAGAAAAGTTAGTTTACCAGAACAACAGGGGTAAGTATATTTAGGCTGCACTTTGTTGTTACTTTTAGTTGCTGTGTTTAGGATGTGCGATTAAATAATAGAGGCAACTAGTGAAAGCAAAGAGGGGACTACTCTTGCTCTCCAGAAAATGCCACAAGTGTGTTAAAGCCTGAGAGGTCCTGCAGGTTACCTTAAAGAGACTTTGCCTTGGGAGAATCATGGAGGCTGCCAAGGTCTGAGTGGTCCTGTAGATTACCTTAAAGGGACTCTGCCATGCAAGAACTATGGAGGCTGCTAAAGCTTGAGAGGTCCTGCAGGTTACATTAAAGGGACTCTGCCATGTGAGAACCATGGAGGCTGCCAAAGTCTGAGAGGTCCTACAGGTTACCTTAAAGGGACTCTGCCTTGGGAGAATCAGGGAGGCTGCCAAAGTGTGAATGGTCTTGCAGGTTACCATAAAGGGACTCTACCATGTGAGAATCATGGAGGCTGCCAAAGTCTGAGAGGTCCTACAGGTTACCTTAAAGCAGTGGTTCTCAACCTTCCTAATGCCGTGACCCTTTAATACAGTTCCTCATGTTGTGGTGACCCCCAACCATAAAATTATTTCCCCCAGTAATTATAATTCATGAGTGTCGTTTTACCTCCAATACTGCTGCTTTCAACACAGTAGCTGCTTTCAACAACACAGCAGCTGCTTTCTACACAGTAGCTGCTCTTTACACATTGGAAATATGTGTTTTCTGATGGTCTTAGGGGACCCCTGTGAAAGGATCATTCAACCCCCAAAGGGGTTGCGACCCACAGGTTGAGAACCACTGCCTTAAAGGGACTCTGCCATGTGAGAATCATTAAGGCTGACAAAGCCTGAGAGGTCCTGCAGCTTACCCTAAAGGGACTCTGCCTTGGGAGAATCATGGAGGCTGCCAAAGTCTGAAAGGTCTTGCAGGTTACCATAAAGGGACTCTGCCTTGGGAGAATCATGGAGGCTGCCAAAGTCTGAAAGGTCTTGCAGGTTACCATAAAGGGACTCTACCATGTGAGAATCAAGGAGGCTGCCAAAGTGTGAATGGTCCGGCAGGTTACCTTAAAGGGACTTTGCCTTGTGAGAAGCATGGAGGCTGACAAAGTTTGAGAGGTCCTGTAGGCTACCTTAAAGGGACTCTGCCTTGTTGGAATGGAGGCTGCCAAAGTCTGAGAAATTGTATAGGTTACAGCAAAGGAACTCTGCCATGTGAGAATCATGGAGACTGCCATAGTCGCAGAGGTCCTGAAGTTTGCCTTAAATGGACATCATGGAGCTGCCATTGTTCAACTCTAGTTCCTTGGCTGTCATACTGAAGCCTTGGCTGAAATGCTTTCTTAGTGATCCAGAATTAAATATAGAGATATGGAATTTGGATACTTCTCCACAGTTCATTTACAGCTTGGTGTTATCTGCAAAGACTGAAATTTTATTTCCTAATTAAAAAGCAGCAGTTTATGTGGCTCCATGCTACCAAAGCTGCTATCGGCAGAATTTAATTTTATAAACATTATAGGGTCTGATATTGAAAATCCCATTTCAGTCTTTGCAGATAACACCAAGCTGTTGCAGTGGAATAAAGTCCTTACAGGATGTCTTCAACTTACAAGCCGACCTCAATGCTCTGTGTAATTGGGCAACTATGTGGCAAATGAGATTTAATGTTGATAAATGTAAGGCTCTGCACTTGGGGGCTAAGAATATGCATGCATCATATATACTAGGGGGGGTACAACTGGGGGGGGTCAATGGTGGAGAAGGATCTGGGGGTTCTGGTAGATCACAAGCTTAATAATGACATGCAATGCCAAGCTGCGGTTTCTAAAGCGAGCAAAATCCTCTCCTGTATTAAAAGAAGTATAGACTCCAGAGACAGAGATATCATTCCCCCGGTACAAATCATTAGTAAGACCTCATCTGGAATATGCAGTTCAGTTTTGGGCACCAATTCACAAAAAGAACATTGGGGAACTGGAGAAAGTACAGAGAAGGGCAACCAAACTGATAAGAGGCATGAAGGAGATCAGCTATGAGGAAAGATTAGAGGAACTGAATGTATTCTCTCTTGAGAAGAGGAGATTAAGGGGGATATGATCTCCATGTATAATACATAAGGGGGATATGATCTCCATGTATAATACATAAGGGGGATATGATCTCTATGTATAATACATAAGGGGGGATATGATCTCCATGTATAATACATAAGGGGGATATGATCTCCATGTATAATACATAAGGGGGGATATGATCTCCATGTATAATACATAAGGGGGGATATGATCAGCATGTATAATACATAAGGGGGGGGATATGATCTCCATCTATAATACATAAGGGGGGATATGATCTCCATGTATAATACATAAGGGGGGATATGATCTCCATGTATAATACATAAGGGGGGGGGGTATGATCTCCATGTATAATACATAGGGGGGGGATATGATCTCCATGTATAATACATAAGGGGGATATGATCTCCATGTATAATACATAAGGGGGGATATACATAAGTATAAATACATAAGGGGGGGGAATATGATCAGCATGTATAATACATAAGGGGGGGATATGATCTCCATGTATAATACATAAGGGGGGATATGATCTCCATGTATAATACATAAGGGGGGGGATATGATCTCCATGTATAATACATAAGGGGGGATATGATCTCCATGTATAATACATAAGGGGGGGGATATGATCTTCATGTATAATACATCAGTGGTTCATATAGTGAACTCGGTGTAGAGTTATTCACCCTGAGGTCATCACAGAGCACAAGGGGGCACTCTTTACGTCTGGAGGAAAATAAATTTAATCTCCAAACACGGAAAGGTTTCTTCTCGGTAAGAGCTGTGAAAATGTGGAATAGACTCCCTCAAGAGTTGGTTCTGGCCAGCTCAGTGGATTGCTTCAAAAAAGTCCTGGATTCTTTCTTAGATACACAGAATATAACTGGATATAACATTTATAGGTAAAGTTGATCCAGGGAATATCTGATTGCTTCTCGGGGGATCAGGAAGGAATTTTTGTTTTCACGCAGGAGCAAATTGGATCATGATTTGCTGGGGTTTTTTTTTGTCTTCCTCTGGATCAACTGTGGGTGTAGGATTATAACTTTTTTTTTCTATGGTTGAACTGGATGGACGTTTGTCTTTTTTCAGCCAGACTATCTATGTAACTATATACATACACTATATTGCCAAAAGTATTGGTCGCCTGCCTTTACACGCACATGAACTTTAATGGCATCCCAGTCTTAGTCTGTAGGGTTCAATATTGGGTTGGCCCCGCCCTTTGCAGCTATAACAGCTTCAACTCTTCTGGGAAGGCCCACAACCTTCCACAAGGTTTAGGAGGGTCTCTATGGGAAGGTTTGACCATTCTTCCAGAAGCGCATTTGTGAGGTCAGGCACTGATGTCGGACGAAAAGGCCTGGCTCACAGTCTCCACTCCAATTCATCCCAAAGGAGTTCTATCGGGTTGAGGTCAGGACCCCAAACTCGTTCATCCATGTCTTTATGGAACTTGCTTTGTGCACTGGTGTGCAGTCATGTTGGAACAGGAAGGGGCCATCCCCAAACTCTTCCCACAAATTTGGGAGCATTAAATTGTCCAAAATGTCTTGGTATGCTGATGCCTTAAAATTCCCCTCACTGGAACTAGGTGGCCAAGCCCAACCCCTGAAAAACAACCCCACACCATAATCCCCCCTATCGTTCTCCTGTACTATTCCCAAGTACCGCTCTCCTGGCAACCCAGAGATGTCCATCAGATTGCCAGACAGAGAAGTGTGATTTGTCACTCCAGAGAACACGTCTCCACTGCTCTAGAGTACAGCTCTCTATGCACCGTTGTTGTGCTAATCTGAAGGCCACACGAAGTTTGGACGTCTTTAGCTATTGACTCTGCAGACAGTTGGCGACTTCTGCGCACTGTGCACTTCAGTATGCGCTGGCCCCGCTCTGTCATTTTACATGACCTACCGCTTCATGGCTGAGTTGCTGTTCCCAGTTGCTTCCACTTTGTTATAATCCCACTAACAGTTGAGTGTGGAATATTTAGTAGCCAGGAAATGTCACGGATGGACTTATTGCACAGGTGGGAACCTATCACGGGACCACGCTTGGAGTCACTGAGCTCCTGAGAGCGACCCATTCTTTCACAAATGTTTGTAGAAGCAGTCTGCATGCCTAGGTGATGATTTTATACACCTGTGGCCATGGAGGTGATTGGAACACCTGAATCCAATGATTTGGAGGGCTGGCCCAATACGTTTGAAAATATAGTGTATAACTATTAATCCAATCCAGTCGAGTCCAGCCATACTTGGATCCTACAATACTCAAGTCCTGGTGAAGGAGGTGGGGGGGGGGGGGGGGTGTCTAAACCCCAGAAAAATTTGGATTTCTTTGTTTTGATTATTAAATAAAACACCACTTTGGACTCTTTGACCAATAGTGTGGCACTCTTACAGCCTCTTGTATAGTTGGAATTTTTTCAAGACCCCCCTTCCCTCTTGGTGGTTTTTAAATCAGCTCAGTTTGACGGTCCCTTATACCAATGGATACTAATAACGTATTATCTATCTTCATTTTTAAATACTTTAGTTTTTATTGCCGTCAATGTCCATGCTGGGGATATTCACTGTCTGTATTTGTACTGGTGACCATTATCACTGAGACGGAAAGTGATGGAAAATCCCAAATTTTACAGTTGTCACCAGAACAAGACACGAGGTGAATCTTCCATTGGGGACACCTGTTCCTGCGAATACTGTATAAGAGGTGATTTCAGTTGAGATTTCCTTTCCCTTCATGTTCTGTCTTTGTTGCAGGAAATTAAATCTTCCCTACAGGACGCAGACAGCAAAAAAAAAAACAAACTCCATCCAAAATTGAAGTTGAAATTTTCGGCTATACATATGATTTTTGTTTTCTGTGCTAAAATGCAGCTAAATGAATACGGAATTGGTTTAGGTGTTATTATTGTACTATACCCTATCTATGAAGCTTCTGTCTCTCCAATAGTGTCTGTTTGCTACATTCTGTGTTGCATTTGTAAACCGAAACTATAGTCCCTGTACAGTTATTTTTAACATTTATGTAAATGCAATCATCTTAATGCAAATGAAAACACCATTTTATGAAGCTGTATGTTACTAAAAAATCATATGTATTTTTATTAAATGAATAAATATATTTTTGCACAACAAGCACCTGAATCTGGCTTGATATTCGCTCCTGCCATCCCCTGTACAGCACTCACACTATGAAAGGGAAATGGCAAAACTACCCTCATGGAAGAAAAATATATTTTAAATATATTTTAAAAATATTCTTCCCAAATATTTTGACATATATTTGAAATACTACAATTTTGGCCCGTATGCAATATATTTAAAAATATATTTGTGTGTGTATATCTATCTATCTATCTATCTATCTATCTATCTATCTATATATATATATATATATATTGCATGTTGAATTGCGTTTTTATATATATTACAAAATATATGAAAAATATTTTTACAAATATATTTTTTTAAATATATTCTTCAGATGTTTTACAGACAGACTTTAACATATATTTTTACATATATTTGTAAATACATACAGACATAAAGACATACAGTATATTTGAAAATGTATTTTTACTATATATATAGTATGTTGAAAAATATTTTTAAAAAATACATTTTCAAATATAAATGCATATTTATGTAAAAATATATTTAAAGAAATATATTTTAAAAAAATATTTTAAAAAATATTTTTCATATATTTTGTAATATATATATAAAAATGCAATTCAACATGCAATATATATATATATTTATATATATATATATATATATATATATATATATATTTATATATATACACACACAAATATATTTTTAAATATATTGCATACGGCCAAAATTGTAGTATTTCAAATATGTGTCAATATATTTGGGAAGAATATTTTAAAAATATATTTCAAATATATTTTTCATCCATGTGGGTAGAAGCCAATCAAGCTCTGTTGCATGCACATGTGCTGACAGGAGAGAGCAGAGTAGAGTGATGAGATCAATGCACTTCTGATGACTGATCAATGCACTAGTTTTTCTTCTTCTCTTTACATAGCCGATATTTAACATGTGGGGAGAACTTCACACAAAGTCACATGCTTCTCACAATTTGGAAGAGCCAGGGACACAAAGACTGGTGAAGAAACGGCCCTTAGGCAGGTAAGTGAAAACTGCCAGCATTCTGTAGAGAAGGACCCCTGCACTGTGTGAGAAAGCAGTAGTCTCTTTGCAGAAGTTTTTTGCCTCCCGTGTGATTGGAGAGCTCTAGCATTGACTCAGTAGGAGGCAAGTCAAATTTTGCAGAGAGACCACTGCTTTTCACACAGAGGAGAGGTCTTCTGCCAAGTCAGGATGTGGTTATTATCCTAAGAAAACAAAAACAAAAACTTTCTCTGCGCCCCCTAAACTGTGTAGACCTCTTCTTTCTGTGTATGGGGGCAGGGTCGCATTTGAGTGGTAGATACCCCGGTTGTCCCTGCAAGGAAATAACTAGCCTTTTTCCTTCCCCCTTTCCCAACAACTACTATATTTGGATTTTTTTTTTTGGGGGGGGGGGGGAGAGGGCACCTAGTTTTGACAGCTTGGTACTTGCTCCCACTATAACCCCCTAGGTGCGCTCCTGCCCTAGGCACGTAGCACCCCGTATCCTCACCCCCCATCAGATGTGCCCCCTTACAATCCATGTAAGGGGGCACTGTGATGCGACACCTGATGTAAGGGGGCACTCTGATGGGGATAACTAATCAAATGTAAGGGGGCAATCTGTAATAAGACACCGATGTAAGGGGGGTGTTCTGATGGGGACACCAATGTAAGGGGGGGGGCGTTCGTTCTGATGGGGACACCTATGTAAGGGGGCGTTCAGATGGGGACACCTATGTAAGGGGGTGTTCTGATGGGGACATCGATGTAAGGGGGCGTTCTGATGGGGACACCGATGTAAGAGGGCACTCTGATGAGGACACTGATGTAAGGGGGCGTTCTGATGGGGACACCTATGTAAAGGGGTGCTCTGATGGGGACATCGGTGTAAGAGGGCGCTCTGATGGGGACACCGATTTAAGGTGGTGTTCTGATGGGGAGACCAATGTAAGGGGGCGTTCTGATGGGGACACTGATGTAAGAGGACACTCTGATGGAGACACTGATGTAAGGGGGCACTCTGATGGGGACACTGATTTAAGGGGGCACTCTGATCGGGAAATCTAATGTAATGGGATACCCTAATGGGGTCTCTGATGTATGGGAGCACACTGATAGAGATCCTGATATAAGTGGGTACTTTGATGGGAATCTGAAATAAAGGGGTACTCTGATGAGGACTCCTGATGTACATGAGGACTCTGATAGGTACATCTCTGTTAAATCACCCTAATCCAATGACAGCCTAATACATATTAGTGTTTCCCAGGTTTTTTTTATACTGCACCCCCAGACCAGAGAGGCTAGATCCAGCCCTGCCATCCACACACCCTCCAGCGCTCCTCCTCACCAGGTCCCTATCTCTCCTGCCACTTTTCCAAAGGGGTGGCACTGCCCCCCAAAGAAAAATGGCACCCGTCAAGGAAAATACGCCGCAGCCTAGGTGTATGAAGACAATGAACCTAGGCTGGTGACAATAGAAGCTCAGATGAAATTTCCAACTACAAATAAATCCTTTTTGGATGGAGGCAATTTTTAAAAACCATTCTGAAGTAGCAAATGGTGTCCCTTTACCAAAGCATTGTAAAACGGCTCGGAGTTGGTTAGTCTGGTGTAACTGTGGACGGTGCCCTGCGGTCTGCTAATAAACGGGGGGGGGGGGGGGGCTCGCTCTGTGTTAGCACAGCAGAAAAGATAAGTCTGCGATGAGAAGCGATGGATGGCGGAATGTAGGAAATGATTACTTAACAGAGAGAGTTAGATGAGGGGAATGTTCTTCATAGCCGAGACAAGCCGTGGATTTCCTAGACAGTCTGTCGGCATAAAACAACAACAGCACACAGAACCAGCTGAAGAAAAGTGATCTGAGGATTCTTGAAGGGCCAAATATTTAACAGAGCGATTATGGACGGAAAAGTCTCATTCATCCATTTAGCGCCATCTAAAAAACAATGCATGAGGACTGCAAAACTGACTTTGAGGCAGATGTATAGAAAAGACCCGACTGAGACATTTATATTTCGTACAAAACTTAAATTGGATTTTAAATGCCATCTCCCTGTACAGTAGCATGGAGAGAGGCATTGCCAACAACTGCTCTTGAAGAAGTTGGCAATAAAAAGATAAGGGTTACATATTTAGGATTGAGAGTTTGTCTCTTAAAAGCTCATCTTCCTTCAGTTTTTGCATTGAAGTCCATAGGAGGCATTTTTGCATTAACGTCAATGGGAGGCAATTTTGCATTGAAGTCTATGGTGGTGCTTTTGCACTGTTGTCAATGAGAGGCATTTTTGCATTGAAGTCAATGGGAAGCTATTTTTCATTGCAGTCAATAGGAGGCGTTTTTGCATTGAAGTCAATGGGAGGCGATTTTTTATTAAAGTCAACAGGAAGTGTTTTTGTATCAAAGTCAATAGGAGGCATTTTTGTGCATTAAAGTCAAGGGGAGACAATTTTGCATTGAAGTCAATGGGAGGTAATTTTGCACTGATGTCAATGGGAGGCGTTTTTGCATTGAAGTCAATGGGAAGCTATTTTTCATTGCAGTCAATAGGAGGCGCTTTTTCATTGAAATCAACGGGAGGCGATTTTTCATTGAAGTCAATAGGAAACATGTTTGCATTGAAGTCTAAGGAGGTGATTTTGCACTGATGCCAATGGGAAATGTTTTTTGCATTGGTGCTAATGGGAAGCGATTTTTCATTGCAGTCAATAGGAGGTGTTTTTGCATTGAAGTCAATGGGAGGCAATGTTTCATTGAAGTCAACAGGAAGTGTATTTGCATAGAAGTCAACAGGAGGCATTTTTGTGCATTAAAGTCAAGGGGAGACAATTTTGCATTGAAGTCAATGGGAGGTAATTTTGCACTGATGTCAATGGGAGGCGTTTTTGCATTGAAGTCAATGGGAAGCTATTTTTCATTGCAGTCAATAGGAGGCGTTTTTTCATTGAAATCAATGGGAGGTGATTTTTCATT